TAAATCAATTATCATTACTATTTCTGTATCTATGTTGAGAAACCACCTGTTATTGCAGCTGAGCCAGGACTGGTCCTTTTTTGTTTATAGGAGGATTCAGATTTTTTTAATGCTGCTATCTTTTAGTTGTTAAGGTACCTGTTTTTGTAAGATGCCTGGAGTATGCACGCACGCGCGCACACACGCACACACACATACATGCAAATAACTTGGGGAACAACAGAAAAGTAGAACATCCAGATGTCATTAGGCAAGAAATCAAAAATGAATCTGCCATTATTGTACTCCTGTCAGTCATTTCCATTACAGTGACATCTTTAGCACACTGTGATTTCATCAAAGTGACAGTGTGAAATGGGTGTGATGATCCTGATGTTTGACATAAGCATATAAAAGTCATGACTTATGAAAACTTGTCATCTCACCTCAAAAGAACATTCTGTAATCTAACACTGCAGAATATGCAATTATCAAGGAGTTGGAAGAAATATTATAAGTAAAAATTACAATAACTGGTGGTTTTAGCTTAAAAAAATGAATGAAGTAAGATCATGTTGATATTATACATAGTGTCAGAAAAAATGCTTCTCAAAAATATTAGAAACCAGGACCATCTAAGATCATACAATTAAGATGAATACACATTAAGTGCCATGTTAATACATATTAACAGATAAAATATATAATAACTCAGTGTGTATATTCATCACATTTAATAGATGTGTCTGCTTGGAAATTTGCATATTTTAGCAATATGTTATGCCTGTCATCATGTGCACTCCTTAATAGGTCTTGAGTAAGAATCCATATTTAATAACTAAATGATAAATACATAGTTTCCTCTTCTTTATCACTTGAGGCTAATTTATTGCAGCTAATGGCATGGTTGTGGTTTCATTGTTTAGGGAAAAAAATAGGTCAAAATTATGGCTAAAGATACCTGAAGCACCATAGTTTTGTCCTCTTGATTTGGAATAGCAGATAAGCATTATCATATTATATTATATTTATAGCATTTCTTTCTACTCCTAAAAGAGGTTAAGCTGTAATGTTCTTTTATATGTGTAGATTAAGATACGTATATATGCATGTGGGAAGGTGCATTGTATATGTAAGAGTCCAGACAGACACAGTCATAAGTATAGTTTCTAAACGATATTCAGATCCTGATAGTTTCCTCTGAGTCAACAACATTATCCGTCCTTTACGAAGTAGGAGTAATTGTAATATATATGAGCCATTCAGCAGGTAATGCCTAAAAGGTAGAAACTTCCTAGCAACATGGGATTAAACCAGAAGGAAATCCTTCTGCTTCACTTACTGTGTAAGTAGGAAAAGGATCAACAGCATATTGGCTGACAAAAGGAAAAAGCAGAATGATTCCATGCCTTAAAATAGCTGTAAATTTATATTTAAAATCGTAGATATACAACCATAGATTAATTTGAAATGAGTTTCCTACATGATAAGCTTCCCATTCACACTTCTGTCCACTACAGAAAGCAGTCTTTTTTGAAATGAGCTATTTCCCTACTCAATTGAAAATATGATGACAGTGACCCAGAGATTACAGTGTATCCTCGACTTATAACCATTCAGTAAGCAACCATTCAATTCAATCGAAATAGAGTTGGAAGGGACCTTGGAGGTCTTCTAGTCCAACTCTCTACTCAAGCAGGAGATTCTATACCATTTCAGACAAGTGACTTTCCAGTCTCTTCTTAAAATCCTTCAGTGATGGAGCGTCCACAACTTCTAAAGGCAAGCTATTCCACAGGTTAATTGTTCTCACTGTTAGGATGTTTCTCCTTAGTTCCAAGTTGCTTCTCTCCTTGGATTAGTTTCCATCCATTGTTTCTTATCCTACCCTCTGGTGCTTTGAGAAATAAGTTGACCCCCATTTCAATCAAAGTTTCAGATATGCTGAACTTATTATATGTACCCAAACTTATGCATTGAAGAATCCCAATGGTCAAAGGATCAAAATTTGGCACTTGGCACTCTGCCAGCACTTAGGATCACAGAGGTGCTTCAAGTCCCCCATCTATTTATCTCTCCCCCATCTATGCACTCCCCACCCTTCCTTCCTTCCTGTGCTCCACTATCCCAGGTGACCTTCACTGTCGTCTTAATCCCACTGATGATGAGATGTTCCCAGCTTAGCTGCTGGGCTGGGGTGGTGGTAGGGCTTGGCCCCAGAATTGTGGCATGCCGAAAAGTTCTATTGTGCTCCACTTCTAAGAATTGCTTTTTTCTTTTTCTTTTCATCAAGTGAAACCCAGGCTCAGCCAATACAGCAGCCAGGCCAGGTACAGCTGTGGCAGGGCAGCAAGGGTTTCAGACTGCAGGTGGCAAAGGCAACTGCGGCTAGAACTGGGGTGAGGCAGCTCTGGCTTTCGTGATTGTGGTAAGCAACACCAGAGCCACACAGTTCTGGGGCTGCTTGCCATCCCACAAGACAGCATGCAGGGCAGCCAAAAAGGCAGAGAGGAATGAGAATTGGGGGTTGAGTTTAAGTCAATCCAATATCTTACTGAGGCTCAGGGCTGGGAGTAATCAAGTTCAGAATGGTTTGGATTGAGATGGGTGGGTTCTTGCTTTATGAGTCGTATTTGTTGGCCCTGTCAAGATTACAATTGTTACGTGATGTGGTCATATGATGTCTTGCTTTATTACAACATTGGTTAATGATGGAAATTCTGATGCCAATTGTGGAGGGCTCCCTGTATACTGTTATTATCTGATTTATGCAGCATATATTTCTCCTGTGATTTCTTTCTGTATGCTTAATTTTTTCTTTTGTTCTAACAGGTGAAAAATGAATACTTAGCTATGGTATATTATAATGGGATCTCTTTCATAAACCCATTACAACTTGTTTGGACAACTCTGTTCCATAACCTCTTTTGAAAAATGAAGGCTAAGAATACCAGAATAGGGCTATCATACTTAGGCTGCAAAAATTCTGAAGGGCACTAGATGTATGCAAGGAAAATAGATTGTCTGCTATTCCGCCCCCCCCCCCAAATATATTATATCACTCTTCTCTGTTATTTTGTGGTCTGTCTTTTCTTACAGAGTGAAATCAAGATGTTATGTCACCATTCGCAAGAAATGTTAAAAAAAAAATTCCTCCCATTCAGGGATCAAATGGTTATTTACAGCCAAGATCTAGTATTTTTAATTGAAGTATTGTCAGTCGGATAACAAAAAACAGACTCCCCAAGCCAGGCTTCTGGGACTTTATCTTGGCTAAAAGAATTGTTTGATGTGACTAGTATATGATTTGCCAAGCTGAGATGGCATGGCAATAGCAGGTATGGCCCTGCCAGAAAACTAGTCTCAGAGTTTTGTTTAAGAAATTTTTTTCTAACTAAACAGAGAGAACAAAATGCATGGAGCAGACTTGAAACATGTATTTGGGACTGGTTGCTCTCAAGCAGCAAAGAAACATGTTTGGAACTCAGATGTCTAGATGCCATTTAAATATTTTGTCCCAGTGCTTACTTCTTTGTTTGCAATTGCACCACCAGCTCCAGTTATTATTATGAATATGCTTCTTAAAAATTAAATAGGGAATGACTATTTTCCCCATCTTTCCATTTTGAAAGTAATCTGCTAGAAAATGTTAGTGTGATTACGTATCTATTAGAATTGCCGCACAACTCTGACTTATCTGGGTATAACAATGTAAACTATGTAAAGGCATGAAATATGAATACCAAACACTTCTTGGTGCTCAAAAGAAGAGGCAATATGTAACACATTAAATAAAATGTATTTATTTACTTGGTTATATATTTCAAAAGGAAGGTTTTGCTGAGGAATACCCAAATTAGAAAAACAAATTCTGTTTATTTGACAAGTACTGGTAAAGCGGAATTTAGGAATAGCCAGCAGCAAACTAGTGTTTGCTTTCATGTTAAAGCTATTTACACAAGAAACAGGCTAATGTCTTGTAATTGTTACAATAAAAGTAGTTAAAGAGTGCATGTTATACGTGTATTCTCCCAAAAATATACTTCAATCATTTATGCAATACTTCATAAAACATTGTGCAAAAAAGGTAGGAATGAAGGAAAGCGGAAATGAATGTGCACTTCCCTTATCTGTCCTTTTTAAACATTTCCTTTCAATAAATAGAGGATTAATATATGAAACAATGTGGAGTCAAAATAGAAATAGGTCCAAAAAGGTGTTCCAAATTCTCCATAATCTGTTCCTCCTTACTCAGCAATCAGATATATTAACCCTGTTGCTCTTAGGGTCATACAAATCAATATGAAAAGTTAATCATTACTGCAACTTTTCTTGACTTCAATAGAATTTAATTGAATATAGACCTGCTTCAATTCCATGTGTTAAAAGAATTGAAAAGAATGATAAATTTTTTTGTACTGTGACTTGATACAAAAGGAGAGAACACAAATATACTTAAAAATCTTTAGGCTTTGTTCAATTCAAAACCTGCCTTTAGTTTTAAAATACCCTGTTTCTCCAACAATACGGCCTCCCCCAATAGGAAGTCCCAGCATGTTTTATAGGCATGAAATGAAATTAAGCCCCTCCCCCCAAATTAAGGCCTATATTAAAACATGTGAAATGGGAGGGAATGGCGGGGGGGGGCTTGCCGTTAGGAAGTACTTTTGTGGCACACCCGGATATGGTGCTGCCTGCGTTGACCCCGATACGAAGTGCCCCACCAACGCCAAGGTCAACATCCAAGCCGTCGCTGCCCGCCCGCCCAAAGATGCAAGGGGGGGGGGGAAATTAAGTCACCCCCGAAAAGACGGCCTAGCCATTTTTTCAGGGCTCAAAAAAAAATAAGACCCGGTCTTATTATATGAGAAACACGGTACTTGCTAATCAAAAGCCAACATCATGATCTGCCTTGTTTTTTATGGTCTTGGAATCACTATCCATATTACCTGTATCTTATTTGAAAACAAAAATAAACAGAGAACTTTCCTAACTCGGTGGGATTGCTCTTTTATTATCAGGAAAAGAAAGTCCTCCAGTAAGCGATGCTCCAGATGATGCTGATGAGCCTATGCCTGTACCAGAAGATCTTTCCACTAGCACAGGAGGATTGCCAAATTCTAGAAATGAAAGAGTTTTGGGTAAGGTTGTTGATACATGGGATTATTCTGCTCTGTCATGCATAAGATGTTTCACCTATACTTGGGAGGAAGATATTTAAGTCTGTACTCTCATTTTTGACAGCCCCTTTTTCATGTTTCTTTTCTGTCTTAAAAAACATTCAGATTTAAAAAAAAATCAGACAATACTCTATTTTTTAAAAAAAAATCTGTTCAGATTTCCCAAAATGTTTCATAATGAAGAACTAAATGTATAAAAGCAGGGATTATAGTGGGAAAGGATTGGAAGTCATACATGTTTTTCTAGAGCTAACATGGCTTATGGTTTAAAATTTTAACATCTTTAATTTAAATAGAGAGAGTACCTGGAATATTTATTCGTAATGCCAAGTCATATAAGTTTTTGGTCTTTAGTTAATGGATTGAAACTCACGGTTGGTTTCACTCATTGATGCTTTTTCTATTGTTTACATTTTAAAAAAAGAAGTGAGATAAAAGAAAAAGGATAGATGGAATGGGGAGAGAACAGTAAAAAGATTGCATTAAGGGAGAATAATTAGTATTGCAAGCTACTTCTGCAGCAGCCAACTGCCTGCAATTTGGCAGATCAAATCTCACTAGGCTCAAGGTTGACTCAGCCTTCCATCCTTCCCAGGTGGGTAAAATGAGGACCTAAATTGTTGGGGGCAATATGCTGACTGTAAACTGCTTAGAAGGAGCTGTAAAAGCACTCTGAAGCAGTATAAGTCTATTGCTATAAAAGTGAGAGAGAAAGAGATGGGGAAAACTACTAATGATTAATTTTAGTTATAAGGTAAAAAAAAAAAAAATAGAGGCTACTTACCTAAATCCATGTTATGGGTTTCTTCCTCTATTTATATCCAAAATAAGAGAGTGCATCCATATAAATAAAAAGAAAGACAGCTAAGTGTTCAGCTAGTATACACATATACATCAAATGAAGTAGAGGGGTGTGTATTTGTCTCCATTGCATAAGCTCACAGTGTACATATATGCATATGCAATACCTATACAGCATGTATGTATGTGTACACCCGCCTCTACTTAAGATTAACAACTCTGAATTTAGTTATGCAGAAGGCTAAACTTCAATTATTTGTTGCTTAGCTGGCAACAGAAATCAGAGCAAATCCCCTTCTAACTTGAGATCAATCTTGTTATGGGGGTGTGTGACAAAGTCAGGCTGGAGAAGGCAATACTGGCGGGCATAAGTTTGTTTGGAAACTACTGTTTTCCAGAGGACTGAAGCCCATTTATTACTAGATGCTCATAAAGAGAGTTGCATGTCATTCCTTTATTGAAATAACTTGTCTGGCTTCCAGTTTGTTTTCCAGGTAAAAAGCCAGGATGGTTTAAAGTCAAAATAAAACCATTTTTCACCTATAAATCTCCCAAAATTTGGGTGGTCTTCTTCCATGTCCTCAATCTACCTGATATTTAACTTGTTCAGACTGTGCCTGAGGAGTGTGCCTTTATAGTGGCTGCATCTAGACTCTGAAGTTTCTGTGTAGTGTAGGCTTGTCTCATTTACTCTCTACTGTACAAATAGTTCTTAATCCTTGACTTAAAGGACTTGTTTAATGGCTGTTCAAAATTATAATGGCACTGAAAAAAACTCACTTACAACCAGTCCTTAACACGAATGTCACTGTATCTTTGCAGTCACATGATTAAAATTTGGATGCTTGGCAACCAATCAACATGATGGTTGGAATGTCTTACGCTTTGGTCACATGATCACCATTTGTAACCTTCCTGGAGGTCTTCCAACAAGCAAAATCAATGGGGGAAGCTGAATTTGCTTAATGACTGCATGACTCACTTAACAACTGCAATATAAAGATCAAAAAATGGGGGGGGGACTCATTTAATGACCACATCACTTAGCAATGGAAATTGCAAGTTCCTGTTGCAGTTGTGGTTGTAAGTTGATACTGCTAGCAACATTTCCAGTGGCCTCCAAAGAAAATCTGCTGCTTTATTATTTTTGTTTTTTAATCAAAATTGTAGGGATCATCTACTTATTATTTTAAAAATTGCTGTTTTTATTGAGTCTGCAAATCACCACTTTACACTATACTATATAGAGGATAGTGGATAACATATAGTGTGTGTGTGTGTGTGTGTGTGTGTTTACCTACCTACACAAATTGTCCCATGTTTCCTAAAGTTCAGTTATACAAATAATTCCTTATGACAGTGTTTTGGCCATACTGGGAGATTTCCTGCTTTGCTACATGTGAATGTGCATGCATCTATGAACTAATTAGTGTGGTTTCTTCCCACTCTATGTTTCTTTTGATTCCAAGATAAGTAAAAAAGAGATAAGGCAAAAACTTTTTATCATGACAGTTGCAGCACAGCCATGAGGAAACATTCTTACACAGCAAATGTAATGGATATAGTTGCTAATGTCTATAAAACATTTACCTCTTTATTTTTAGAAGAACAAGCCGAACTAATAGTATAGAATGAATTATAGGTTTGGGAATTCTTTTTATCACTATTCTGTAGAACAGTAGTTTGGGACTGAAACAATTTTGTCTTCTCAGATTTTACAAATAAATCTATCATCACAAATAACACGAATTATATCTTAACTATGGTTACTTCTACCATTGGCCGGTGAAGTTTACCAATTGTTCAGTATTTTTATTTAGCTTATTCAAAGAAAGAAAATTATATCTGGAGAAGAACTAGACCTTCTTCCACAACATATACCTTGTCCAACAAGATGGAGCGATGACATCAGCAAGTATTGTGGGCCCAGTTCAGTCAGAAAAGAACTGGTACAGAACTCTTTCTAATCCAGTGCCCTGCTCAAGTAGGAGACCCTAAACCATTTCAGATAAGTGACTATCCAGTCTCTTAAAAAACCTCCAGTGATGAAGCACCCACAACCTAGGAAGGCAAGCTGTTTCACTGGTTAACTGTCCTCATTATTGGGAAGTTTCTCCTTAATTCCAGGTTGCTTCTCTCCTTGATTATTTTCATCCATTGTTTCTTGTCCTACCCTCTGGTGTCTTGGAAAATAATTTGAGGCAGCCTCTCACATACTGCAATACTGCTATCATGTCCCTCCTAGTCCTTTGATTCTCTAGACTAGCCAAACTCAAATCCTACAACTATTGTTCATATGTTTTTGTCTCCGGGCCTTTAATCATGTTAGTTGTTTTATGTTGTTGGATAGGACCCATTGTTGAAGTCTATCAAGATCTTTTTGGATCCTGAGCTTGTCTTCTCGGGTGTTGGCTACTCCTGCCAGCTTAGTGTTGTCTGCAATTTTGATGAGTTTGCCTTTTATTCCCTCATCTAAGTCATTTATGAAGATATTGAAGGATACTGAGCATGACAGAACCTGGGGTACCCCACTGCATACTTCCCTCTATGTAGCTATAATACTATTGAGTACAATTTGTCGATCAGTTACAAATCCATATGGTGGTGATGTTGTCTATCCCACATTTTTGTAGCTTACCAAGAAGTAGGTTGTGGTCTACTTTGTCAAATGTTCTGCTGAAGTCTAAATATACTGTGTCCACATTATTTCACTGGTCTACTGATTTAGTCACTTTGTTAAAGAATGAAATAAGATTGGTTTGGCATGATCTGTTTTTAACAAACCTGTGCAGGCTAATAGTTATAACTTTATTTGTTTCCAGATGATCACAGATCTGTTTTTTGGTTATTTTTTTCAGCATCTTTCCAGGTATTGATGTTAGGCTGATTGATCTGTAGTTTCCTGGATCTGTCTCCCCCCACTTTTTTTAAAAAAAGATGGGAACCACATCAGCTGTTTTCCAATTATCTGGTAGTTCCCTGGTGCTCCAAGTTTTTTGAAAGATATGGTACAATGGTTCCGAGATAACATTTACCAGCTCCTTCCGAACTTTTGTATGTAATCCATCAGGTCCCAGTGATTAATATTCATCAAGGCCAGACAGGTGTTATCTTACCATTTTCTTGCTTACCTTAAGTTTTACTTCTATTCTGTCTTTTACAGTTGGGTTTTTGATAGGTTGGGTTATAGTCTGTTTTTTGTGTGAAGATCGATGCAAAGAATGGATTAAGCAGCTCTGCTTTCTCTCTACTGCCTGTTACTTCCTTACCATGTTCTGTCTTTAATGGGCTGGCTGTTTTCTTGACTTTTTTCTTCTTATTTATATGTTGAAAGAAACTCTTTTTTATTATCTCTAACTTTTATTACAAGTCTTTGTTCATTCTGAGCCTTTGCTTTCCTGACTTCATCTTTTCAGATTTGGGCTATCTGCTGATATTCTGCCTTGTTGATGACCCAAGCTCTGTAAAGGACCTGGGAATACTCACCTCTAATGATCTAAGTGCTAGAGCTCACTGCAACTACATAGCCAAAAAGGCATTAAGAGTTGTTAACCTAATCCTACGTTGCTTTTTCTCTGGTAATATCTCACTACTAACCAGAGCATACAAAACATTTGCTAGACCAATACTCGAATACAGTTCATCAGTCTGGAATCCTTATCACGTATGTGATATTAACACAATTGAGAAAGTCCAGAAGTATTTACATTATATTGAATTCCAGTATGACGTGGTCACTGTTCACCTAAGTCTCCACTCTTCTACCCGTTGTAGAATACCTTATGCCACCAGACTCGAAATTCTAAAACTAGAAAACCTCGAATTACGCCGTCTTCGGTCCGACTTAAGCATGGTATATAAAATCATACATTGCAATGTCCTACCTGTCAATGAATACTTCAGCTTTAACCATAACAACACAAGAGCACACAACAGATACAAACTCAAAGTAAACCGCACCAAACTTGATTGCAGGAAATACGACTTCAGCAATAGAGTGGTCAATGTCTGGAATACTCTACCCGACTCTGTAGTCTCTTCCCCAAACCCCAAAAACTTTAACCTTAGACTGTCTACTATTGACCTCACCCCTTTCCTAAGAGGTCTGTAGGGGGCGTGCATAAGCGCACCAACGTGCCTACCGTCCCTGTCCTATTGTT